GCCTATATACATTTCTGACGATGAGGAAGACATTTCAGTGTTAGGAAGTAGTAGCGTAAAGCGTAAAGGCCTATTTGATGAGGAGGAGCTTTTCTCTCAGCCCTCTTCTCAAGAAGAGGAAGCAACTACGACTTTTTCTCCAAGGAAAAGACTAAAGAAAAAGAAAGAATCGCCTCCCTCTTCGCCTTTGCAATTTGATGCTGAAGATGACGATAGTGACCAACTTAATGATCTCGAAAGAGAAGTCACCAAGTACAATCCACTCTTGTCAAAGAACAAGAAGAAACCTCTTAAATTTAGAACCGAAAAACAACCAAGTTCAAGAAAATCAAAAAAGAAGGAGCAAGAAGAAGACGAAGAAGAAATTGAAGATTCAGAATCTCAACCAGGAATGATGCCAATGAGCCAGTTTATTGTCAGTGACGATGAAATGGTGGAAGAGGACGACGATGACGATCGAGATGGGAGCGAGCAACAAGAAAGCAACTACTCAAGAAGTGTTTACAGACAAGTTGACATGATGCAAAATAATCAAGATTCACAAGAAATACTATCATTTTTAACCGGAGAAACTCGCATGACCACAGATTTGAAATCTTCTTTTACCACTTACATACACTTTTTAACCAGTCATTTATTAGATGAAGACTTTATCAAATCGCTAACGTCAATCAAGCATAGAGCTCAGTTCGTAAGTGCTGTCAAAATGGTTGAAGGAAAATTGGCAACCATGAAAGATAGCTTACTCTTTAGTTCGGCTTGGAAAAAAAGACACAAATATTTGCTTCAGTACTATCCTATTATTAAGACACGAGAAATTTCATTGAAAGATACAGAAATTAAGGAAAATAATAACTTTTGCCAAGCATGTGGACGTAAAAACCATCACGCAGAATATTGCTTAATCTTCAAACCTCCTAGAGCTACGATAAAATACGAATTTAATTCAGGAGCCAATATTGAATGGATTGACTCGCCTAACGAAGATGAAGAAGATGATCTTATTCAATTATCCCAAAGAAGAGCAACATCCAAGAAATCCAAACCTCATTTTCTCACTCAAAAAGAGAAGAGATTTGTTGGATCTACTTGCTAC